ATAAAAAAAGAAATATGATTATATAGATGTTTTTTTTAATTTCTGATCGTTGGTCTGAAATATACATCAAAGTAAATACGCTGAACAAACAAAATTATAAATCAAATGATTAAGTATCGACTAAATAAATTATATTTCTTAACAGTAGCCTATTAAGGCGATAAAGAGTCATTTTCTATTTTCGGTGGTTAATATTCTTTTCAGCACTTATTTTTTCAATACCTGCTTTTTCTAGCTCAATCTAAAATAGTAATATGCGATCAGAAACTTAAAAAGTGAGTCTTGATTGATATGGTAAAGTTGATTGTTAATTCCTATAAAAGAATATGCATTTTAAGGATAAATGCAAAATCTACATCGGACTTCTATATTTTGAAAACCTCAACATTTCGATTTATTTTAGGAACTTTGAGTTTTTCAAATACTCTTTATATAAAATAAAAAGTACATTAAAAAAATCCAAAATGTATTTTTATTTTAAAAAAAACTATAATTTACATCTAGAAGAATTGGTAATAATTCAATTTAAAAAAAAATTTCGACTGTGCACAAAAATCATTATTTGGTAATCTTTCGTGGAGATACGAAAAAATGTGAATTTTTAAAGTTAGATGAAATTTATAAAGCAGTTGAGAAATGTTATATATGCAGTACCCTACAGAATTGCTTTTGATAATCTTTTAAAATATAAAAATAACAATTATTTTCAGTATGAAAAAGATAAAAAACTGCAATAGAGGTGGATATTGATTTTTTTTCAACCTATGTGCTCGATATATTAAGGTTCAAGATTTATGTTAAGAGCAACACGATGCTCCTCATTTAATCCACTATTTAAGGAATATATTCATTATCAAACGGCTATAAACAATTCAAAATTTAATATTAAGAATATAGCTTTTAACATTTTTGAGTAAAGTGATATTTCTAGTTGGGAAATTCATGTTACATGTGCAGAAGTTAATTAACTTAACTTTTTACTCATTTTCTGTTTATTTATGTTTATAAAATATACCAAATAATATGATTCAACTTGTATGGATCAAATCATTTGAATTTAATAAATATATGATTTATATTAGTAATGAAGGACAAAGAGGAGAAAGCCGACTGACCCAGTGCTGCCACCCGCATGGTGTTACATCATTCATAAGACGATAAATAAAACCAGTTTTTCAAATCCTATATTAGGCGGGTTACTCGGAATAAATACAACTGGAAGGCTTCTATGTTTCCAATGATGTAGATCTGGACCACGAGATCAAATGCGCAATCCTGATGGGTTCTGGAGTTGCGAAAACTATCAAAATTGGAAAGACTCATTAGGCCCGTTTAGCATCTTCACGCCTGGCTATAATCTGGTACTCATCACGAAAACAGGATCTCCCTTATTCCGAACCAGTTCCAGATTTTAATTTAGGTTTGTTTAAATGACTGTTAAAAGTCAGAGGACGAAATCTCTTTTCGTAAAACGATTTAATATGTCATCTCGATACGGTGAAGATTGCGCAACTATAAACGGGTTGACGGGTTCCCCATGAATCCGAAACGACAGTCACTGGGCCTTGGTTCTATGCCGAGCAGGATATGTCTTTTTTTCTGACCATCGAGACGTCAGATTATAAAAGACACGTTGTATGAGGGCAGGTTAATAGATACGATGGCGAGGAAGTAGATTATAAAAATAAAATAGCTCCTTCGCATTTATTCTAATCAACCGTATCATTGATTTATTCAAATAAACTTTTGAATGGGTTTAATGAGGTATCAAGAGAGCTGTAACGGTGAAGAAAAATAAATATATAGCTCGTTGTTGTGCAGTGACGGACGTGGAACAGGTAAGCTGGGCCTCAGGTGAGCTCCTGTTAGTTGCCAATATTCTGAAATAAATCAGTCCGCGGCAACTAGTAAGGCAACATCGGTCGCTATCGGGCTACAAATATCACTTATCTATTCTGGCGACGTGCCCTGCCTCATAGGAAGAGATAAGATAATTGCCATTGACATAACTTAAATTATTATTCTTTTATCCCGCTTTGTCAGCTTAGAAATTACGAACTTTTTATGAGTCATTAACTTGTACCTTGCTTATTTATATCTTTAGTCTCTATTGCTAAGGTTTCCATTCCTCTATTGGCTTATGGAACTTGTAGAAGGATTAGGACCGCTCTTTTTGAGGATTTTTTTTTTTTGTAAGACGTGAAAATTTTGATACCAAAGACCAACCAGTAGTCCGTGCTAATCTAATTATTAACACTCGTCAGACGTGCACCGAGAATTTAATTTTAGGAGGCTTCAGCCCGAAAGCTTTATATATACAGTGGAATTGACACCACGCAAAAATAAAAAAAAAAATACTTGAATGGTTACAGTAAACAAATAAAACCAGAAACTCTATAACAGATTTATTTATAATATGTACAAACTCAATAAAATTAAAATATTCCACCGTGATTATTTAAAAAAAATAATAAAAAAACTGGTTAATTTTACCTCACAGTAAAAATGATACACCTCACTTCTTATTAACTTTTAAATCCTATTGATTTAGTCCAATAACTTGCAGGAAAGCCATTAATTTCTACCACTCCTTTCAGTCTGTTTGTAATGGAGTCGTCCAATTTTTTTGTTGTTTCCGGACTTAGCCTGTTCCATTCTTCAAGGAGATATGTTTTAAGTCTTCTTTGCTAGTAATTTCGTGTTTTCTAATTCCTACCTTCAGTTTTGCCCACAGGTCACATTAAAATTTGGTGACGGTGATGGAGTTTTTATAACTTTGGGCTATTTATAATGTTGTATCTTAAGTAACGTGGCAGAGTGTTTGAGGTCATTATCCTAATAAAACAAAATCACCAGAACGCCTTATTTTTTTTTTAGTTTAATCAACTTTTTATATGTTCGGATTTGATCTGTGGATAGACGAAAGTCAATATTAGTACGGGATTGAACATTTCTGGCCGTCGGTGTTTTTCGTTGACTGACCAATATTGAACAAATTATCTATCGATGACTTAAAACAATTATATCCATCTTCTTGTTCTTATTAATTAATTATTTTATCATCGGTTCAATTTATTTTCATTTTATGGTTTTGAAATTTTTTTTAGTAACTTATTATGTCTTCCTAATAAAAAAAATTAATATATTATAACTTATAGTAATTAATACTATTATTATTTTATTATTTTACAATTATTTTAATTTAATATATTTTTTAAACTGGTTTATAATAATAGTTATACTATTATAAAAGTCGTGAACGACGGGAATGGAAACCCGCGTGCGAATGACTAACGTTTATGTGTATTTAAACTTCATGCTTCCCCGTTTTTTTCTACCTTTTGTAAAAACTTAAGCTTTTCTAATCCTCAATTACAGCTAGGTATATTACACTCTACCATCTTGAGGAAATGTCCTTCTTTTTTTCGATTCTTCTTTTCTCGTTTTTGATCATTACACGTTATTTTTTTCTACATATTATTAAAACTTTAACATAGTTTAATGCATGTTAGTGAAAATTAATTACTTATTTGTTATTTTTTAATCAATTACTTGAGATAAAATGCTTAGCACAGCTTAATTCTGGTTGATCCTATTTTCGGTTGAATTTAAAACTGAGCGTTGAAATATTAATACCTCGGAATTAAATATTAAATATAGTGGGTTTTTTTTGTGTGTGAATGATCTGCCCCTTATTTTCAGAATTTAGGGTTCGCAAACAATTCCCATGTAATTGGAAAATTATTTAACGGCTAATTATACTACCTATATGTTTTAAATGCAGTGTAGCGGACTAGAAAATTTATTCTGTTACAGAAGCCTTGGTTTGACTATGTGTGGAAAGTTCTATGAAGTGGATACTTGGTCCTTCAATGGTTTGGGAGGAAAGTTTGGTCAGTCCACCTCCTTGCATAATAGTTCGTGAAGATACAAGAGCTGTAGAGTGATAAATAGTCAGGACGCAGTCATTATACAAATTATTTTATTTGTTCCAACGTTTCAACGCAAACATGTGGGTCATCTTCAGAGCGTGGTTCGAACACTGAAGGCTTTCAAGTACTGAGAGTATTTTTAAGTATTCAGTACATACCCTGAAGATGATCCTCATGTTTGGGTTGAAACGTTGGCACAAATAAAAAAAATTGTATTACGACTGTTTATCCTTACTATTTATCACCCATGCTACGTAGAACAGTCGACCAGCTTCCATCGGATTTCAGCGGATTTACATGGGGAAAGGCTTTCGGGCTGAGGCCCCTCCCCCCCCAAAATGGTAAAATATAACCATATTTTATCGAAAAAAATATTAAAAAAGTATCTCTTAAAGTATTATTGTTCGTGTAATCGCATTTTAAAGAGCTTTAGGAATCACTTAAACACCGTTTCATTCAGATAGTTAGCTTCTTTCTTTTTTTCCAAAGTAATTATCGTTCTTTTTATGGAAAAAAAAAAACTTTCGGGCTGAAGCCCCCCTACCTCCAAAATTAAATCCTGGATCCACTAGTGGCTTCCATCAATAATACAAGAGAAGTAATAATTCAAAGCTTTTTTGTTTTTTAAAATTAGAAACGTATCTATGGAGATATTACTGGAATAAAAGTAATTATCATATTGAATTATTGACCTTATTTATTGACTATATTTATATTAAATTAAATATTAAAACCATACAAGTGATAGCGTGTCTATTGCTATAGATGTGGGAAATAAATTTTAATTAATTGTCATTATTATTATTATAGCGTTATATGCTGTCCTTGTTTTGCTTACCGTATATTTAATTAGCTACACTTTCCACTATATGTATGTATATATTTTTTTAAATTAGCTGTTTCTCAAGCATTTTGGACTTATTTTATAGCATAGTATTGTATTTATTGTGTTAATATGTATTTCTTTAGGCTTTATAGTATTGCCATCACTAACTCAGTACTGATCTCATTTATTTTGGAATTAACACATAATTTTGTACTGATTTATTCATAATTTTCTGGACTTACCTGGTAGATTCTGAACGTTGTAGGGGCAGCGAAGCTCGCCTTTGCCTCGGGCCGAGAGCGGTGTTGACAGAAAGCTCCGTGCTGGTGGGGAAGTGCGGGAGGGAGTAGGACTCCTGGTGGGCGGGGGCGGGCTCGTAGGGCTGGTGCGGGGGCGGCTGGTGGGGCGGCGCCCCGTGGTGAGGTCCTCCGAAGTAGCTGGGGTAGTAGCCGGGGTGGGCCGCTGGTTGCGGGTATTCGTAATGCCCTGCAACGAAAGCTTCAATGAAGAAGAAATAATTAAAATTTTTAATGTCATCCAAAGTGCATGAAAATATAATAGACTTTCATTTTGGGTCATAAATCATTAATTTTATCTATATTTAGAATGATATAAGAAATGGAGGTTTAACATAAATACTAACGCTACCCAACCTATAACCTCAAAATCACAAAACGCTGCAAATTATTTCACAATGCAATTATGCACAATTATTTCAAATTAACAGTTTAATTTTTACTGAAACCGCCATATATCTTTACAGTCGGTAATGTTTTTCGCCCAGAGGTAGAATGCCCTGTGATCATCCACTGGAGGGAATTTCCTTTCACTGTAGATTAAATGAAAAACATATGCATTTATTCAACAGGTAAGAAAAATACTGGTCTGGTATAAGCCTATTAGTTCTCCATCAACGGTGTTGTTTTCTATTGCGGAATAAAAACGCGGACAGTTAAATCTATCTATGCATTACGTAATAAGATTTATAATCCTATCTTCATTAAATAATTCTTCTTAACTATTAAAAAAAATGCCTATATATAAAATTCAAATATAATAAGATAATAAGCATATTGTAATAATTTTATATAACATAATAAATTCAGAAAAATTACATTTCATGAAAAGTTATTAAGTATTAAATATATTTTCATTTTTATTCAAATTATTGGTGTATAATCAAGACGATTTTACATACAGAGTTATAAAATAAAAACATTTCCGTTGTATATGCAATCAAAAATGTATGTTATGTTCCACTACAATATATTCCAGGCATATTAATATTTAGTGTCAAGTATATTTTTTAATTAATATAAATTGCTTTGGAATGAATTATATTGTCTTAGGTAGGACAAGTTTCTCTTAGCATTTTAAGTTGTAAGAGTTCCACACTGACATCTCCATCAAGAGACCTAGTCAGCTCATTACTAACACAGCTTTCCTTAACTGTTCTTACAAAATTAATTTTCATTATGTGCTCACATCCATTATCCTATTTTTTAATTCGTCTTTAAATAAAACCATCTGGTTATTATATAAAGTGATATATATGAATTGTGAATTTCTGGATATGGATCATAGTCAAAGATCTATTTCCAGAAGGTGAAATGTGATATAATTTAATAAGATAATAGGGTTCTATCTTTTTATAATCAATAATCATTTATCACAATGGGAAAAAAAAAAAAATCCGATCCGGCCCGGAGGACCACTAATCATTCTCGCCACAGTATATTTTGGCTCATAGTAAAATTTATAATGTATGTAAGTCAGAGTAAATAATAACCAGATGGCTTTATTTAACATGGCTTTATTTATCCTAAAAACAGGATAGCGGATATGACCACATAATGAAACTGAATTTTGTAACATTAGTTAATGAAATATGTATGTTAGTATGATGAGCTGACTAAGTCTCATGATGGCGGTCTGAGTGTGGAATTCATACAAAAATGTTAGGAGAATCTTTACCTAGATAAAACAATATATTTCATTCCAAAGCTATTTATATTAAATAAAAAATATACTTTACAGTATCAATTAAGTTCTCTGGAATATACAGTGGTGTAACACTAAATAAATTTTTTATTATAAAAAGGATTATTGAGATTAAATATGAGTAAATAATTTTAAGATAGAATCCTATTATTGCATTAAATTATATACAAATTTTCTCCTTTTTGAAATGGATCATAGTCAAAGACCTGACTATTTATGTTAACGACATAAATTCCTTTGAATTTAAAAATGATCAATTAGCTAATTGAGGTAATAAGATAAGATAATTAATTAGCTTTTGGAGTATTCCAAATAATTGATACAGGTTACATACCCACAGAAGCCGAAAAGGGAAATAAAAAAGCACTATAATTAGAAAAAAAACCGGAGAGTACCAAGGTCCGTCAGTGAAAAGGTTGTGAGGCGTGAGAGATAGTCTCGGTTAACGAGGCATGTACTTTTTAGGAATCGGGCTAAGACAGACACACACTCGGGCACCATCTATGGGCCCTGTAATGCCATTTCTTCACAACGGAAGTCCAACTATACGTTATGCTCGCTTCTACTGATCTTAAGTCTTTTCATTCCGAATACTATATATCTTAAATTTAATTAGCTTGTAACTCTACATACAGTATTGTTTTTTTAATCCAGTTTATTTATTTTTTTTATCCCCACCTGTTTGTTACTTAGAACACCGAAATATCGAGTTGAACTCGTCAGGCTCGCCCAGAGACCTTCCTTTATGACTGACTTAATGCTATCTATTTTTTTTTTGGGGCTATAAAAAAAATTATTTACGCCAGTAAACTTTTGTTTACAATCAGCAAATGTGTTGAAAATGCTTGCATGAGGAAGGAAAGTACTCAGCAGGACCTCTTCTCTGACTTGTTTCAATAACTAAGGTGGTTTAAGAAAAGAGATCTCTCATCCAACGCCTTTTTTTTTCTCCTCTAATGATATTTATTTAATTTTTCGAAAAGATCTTTATATAATCAAATAACATCAAACCTTATAAATATTTTTTTTCTTCAAAAAATCAGGTATAATGCTGATGCCTCATTATCATGCCGTGTTATGAACAAGCTTCAAAACACAAAATGTTATATTTTAAGTAATTTCTTACAACGTTTACCAGTTATTATTACATTGTGAAACTTTCAATAAAATATATCAAATCGCTTCAAGTAGATGAGTATCAGAGCTAATTTTTCAATAAAAAATTACCATTTTGAATTTATTTTACTATTTTCGCTTAACATTTAATTTTAATTCTAATTAAAAAAAAAAATCAATGAAAAAGAAAGAATTCCATTGAATCTTAAAAAAAAAAATATATATACATATATTTTTTTGTCTTGACTACTTAGACATTCGCACGAAAAAATTTTCTGCACTCAACATTTAGTGATTTTAATGTCTTCGATCGTCAAAATAAATATTAACTTTTTTCAAGAAAAATTCTAAACTTCTGAATAACAAGTTCTTAGTAATAGGAAACGATATTTACATACTATTATTTAAGTGCAAAAAAAGAATTTTTATTTTATTTCTTCCCCATGGTAATTAAAATCATACATCCTTATGTTGAGGATATGTATATATAATAAGATTAATATTTTTTAAAATGTTTATTATAATGGAGTTATGGAATGTTATACAGCTAGATAATGTTTTGTTTGACAAAAATATTAATGGAAAATAAAGTTTCATTTTCCTAAAATGTTCGCACTTTCGACGACATAACGGATTTTGACCCAATACCAAATTTTACGCCTAAAATATTTGTGTACTTACCTTGGGGAGGGGTGGGTTGAGGAGTGGGCTGGTAGGCTCCAGCTACCGTGTAGCACTCCTCTTCCATCTTGAAGCCGAGACTGGAAGCGTACGTCTCTTGGAAGCTAGGTAAAGGGGCAGGCTCTGGAGATCCGTGGAATACGACGTCCTGAAATGGGTCTAGATCTTCTGGCAGCGCGGCAGTACTCTCTTCTGGGTAGGGTGCAGACAGCAGCTCCGCGAAACTGCTTGAACCAAATGAGCTCTGGCAACATCAAAAAGAAATACAAAAATTAATAAATAATTTAAATATTTATGAAATAAGATAAGAAATATAAATTAATATAACTATTCAGTACTTTAAAAACCCACATTACTCCAAAAACAGAATGTGAATTTATTATTGGTGCTATAGAAACAAAGATTATAGTTGTTTATAGTTATATTGTTAATTTGATTAATAAAACTTTCAAAATGATCAATAAATTTATTAAATTATTCTCTGCATACCACTCTCCATGAAATAAATAGGACATTGACAAAGGAAAGTATTTAATTTACTTTTAACTTACATTCTAATGCAAACTTATCTCGATTTTAAGAATAAATAAATATTTACATAATGATACTAAACATGAACATTTCGATAAGATACTTCAAGTTCAATAAACCGTGGTGTTTCTGTTAGATATTTTTTTTGATATGTTGAGTTTCTTTTATTCAACTTTTTTTTTTCCATTTTATTAGATTCATTTTAAATAAGAAATAGAATTTTAGTAACTTTTAACATTGCGACATGTTCAAAATTGTACGTTCATTGAAAGTTGGATAGTATGATATTATGACGCTTAACTGTCCACTTCACTATTATTCTTAACCTGAATACCCATCACAAAATAATTTTAAATAATGTTGTAAACAGATACAGAATTTGTAAGCAGTAAACCTTCTATGCTAAAAAGGAAAAAAATGAAGATTGAATATAAATAAATTGAAAAAAAAAGATTAAATAAAACTTCTACTTTTTTCGAGGTAAAAAATTAAAATTATTTACAGTAAATAAAAAAAACATTATTTTTAAAATACTGATTGAAAAGTAAAAGTGATTTATATAACAAAAATTTCAAATTATTTTAAATTGAAAATATGGTAAAAAGGGAAAACGAAACTTGGTCTAAACAAATACATTCTACATTGTATAACAATTTGTTTTTATAAAACATTTCTTTATTGATTAATATAACAATCTGTCACAACTAAGGACATTAGTGAATAGAGATAGAGTAGTTCATTCACTCTAAGTACAATAAATAAAAATAAATTAAACAGCAAAATAATATAACTAAATGTTAATGTTGTATAACAATTAGGTTTTATATGTACTTAGTTTAGGTATTTTTTCAGTTTTGAAGTAGTTGTATTGTTTTTTTTTGTACATTTTTAAAATGTAAGTCTTTTTTCTGGGAAGTTGTATGTTATTTCTTGTTATTGGCAATGATGACTTCCAATTAAACAACAATTGGTTTATTTGTTGTATTTCCAAATTACATGTTTACATGTTAACGTTTCGGGGTATTTACTCCCATCTTCAACAAATAAACCAATAGTTGTTTAATTGGAAGTCATCATTGCCAAAAACAAGTCTTTGCTTCTAAATGACCGATTAAATCAAGTGATCCGGAGAGATATTTAAAAAAATGATTTAAAACATTAGAATATATATCCCACAAACCTATCATTGCTTTAAAATGCAGTTTCTGGTAATAATAAATTATTACTTATTAACTTATGCAGTAACGTATTACCTATGTAATTATAAGAGCATGTTAACCTTGGCAAATAATGAAATAGTTGACATAATTGTACTCCTAAACTTATATTTTTTTTAATAGCGTCTTTTACGGCAATATTTATAGTTATAGACCGCGTTTGCAAGTTCCTTCTGAATTTTATTTTCAGTATTATAGCCTTTTAAATATTTCTATTAATCAATAGTTTTTGCCTATTAATTTATTAATGTATTCAAAATTTATCATCCTGTTTAAATTGTATCATTATTATGCACAATAATTATTAAAACTGGTATTTAAATTATTATGGTTTAAACCTACGACATCCTGTCCAACGGTATCCTTCAATAATAATCCGCTTATCTAAGTCGAGCAAAGTTCCTCATTTGTCTAATAAAATTATATTTAACCACTTTTATGTTCCATGTGTTACATTTAACACACACATATATGATAACATGCACATGTTATAGTACATGTTAGATGATATATGATCCACTACGTTTATCTTAAACAAAAGTGGAACTCCTTTAAAAAAGACTGAGTTCGTGTAAAAGTTTCCTTTAATTACCCATACTTTTTTCTTTACACACAGAAATATTGTAATTTCCATTCAAGCCGATAATTGTGTGAGGTGTTTGAACCAAAGATGGTATGAGGATTTCATTACAACATAGTTGTAAATTTCAACATTCTCAAGTCTAGCGGTGCCGATTCGTATCCGACTTGGGCGATTAAAATTAGTTTCGTGACGGACCCAAGGTATAAATCTCGAGCTTCTCACTTTGATCAGAATAGGTTTGGTTATATCTCTAGAATAAAGGGGTAACCGAAAAAACAAAAACAAAAAAAAACAATAACATATTACGATTCGTATTGTTAGATTAAAATAACATAGATGGAGAAATTGTTGACTGTAGAACTACACAAAAAACATATTTATTTTATTTTTTGTTACTTTCTAGGTTCCGGCCTAAGTTTCAGGTCATCATCAGGGGCTAAGTAAAGATTCGATAAAAAATATATAGTGAGAAAATAATTACATAGGTAGGTATAAACAAATACTAGCTTTTTTTAAACTAGTCTTATCTTATCTCCGATGTCCTGAAAAGTAGGCCTAAACTTCAGGTTCAGGACAAAAAGTATGTTTTTTAGTAATTCTAATCACTGCAATAACCACGTACTTCTTATGAAATAATATAGGTCTGACACCGATGAAGTTTCACGATTAATCCGAAAGGGGTTTCTACATTTTATGCAACAGAAAAAAAAAAGAAAAGAATATTGTGTTACTATTAAAGACAACGGGCTTGTGTTTCAGGAAATGCTTATAGAAAGTTCCTGTAGGATATATCCGAAAAGCTCCTTTGTTTATTTCTGTTAGTTCCACATAGTTACATAAACTATTTCCCAACTTCTTTTTGTTTCAATCTTCTGTAATTTTCTCAAAATGGCCTCCCGAAACGTACAATAAGAAGGAGAAAACAGTTCCCCGGATGAATGAGTGAACAGATCGTTGAACGAAAGAAGAGCGTGAGGTGCGGGTGTAAGACTGAGCCAACGGTACCTCCTGGACGACGGGGGGAGGGGGGCAAGGCTGCTACAAGGACGTACTCTCCTCCTTTTTCTATTTCTTCTCTTTGACCGTTGGCCGCTTTGGCGCGTAATCCTCCCCGGGTAATTGGGACCGGTCTAAGTACCGCTTCATATTTATATCCCGTCTGCCGGCGCCCGTCAATAAATGAAAATGCAGACTCATTAGTGGTTGGTGAAAAAATCATGTTTGCTATGATGGATCTGAAAGAAAAAAAAAACAACGCCGTACAATGTAAGACATGCAACACTACTATAGTATATAATAGTACCATTTAAAGCGCCTCCCATCTAATTTTAAAATGCATATTTTAATTAAATTCTAACCAGCTATTTAAAATTTTGTTAAACCATTTCAATTGTATATTTGAGTAAATGTGCACGACATATTATTACAATAATATATTCATCACGTGGTTGCCTTCCGTCATTCGATACCATTGGACAAATGAAGACCTACAACATAGTTCGAAATGTAAACTATCTATAAGATAAGTCCTACTTGTATTAATATTTGACTTCTTTGATCGCAACTCTGAACATTTTAGATTAGATCAAAAATATCTGTAACATGTCGATATAATAATTAATAACAATTTATAAGATTATTTCAGTAGCGGATCCAGGATTTAGTTTTGTTTTGGATAGTTTATATTTTTTGTCATAACGGTAATATTACTCTGGATAAAAAAATGAAAGAAATTACCTATGTAAAATATTTAAGTAAAATAGTCAAGCTGAGGCCACTCATAGAAACAACTAAGAACCATTGAAAAAAAATTTGTATCTTGGGAGAAGGGTTTCAACTAGAAAGTTATCCCCCTTGTAGATTAGCCAGTGGACCTGGTAGATAGAATCTGTTTAACCGACCCGATCTGGAATATTAATATTTCACAATGATATGAAATAAGAACTCTTCAATTCAACAGACTATCTATTCACTTTAAGTAAAAAAAAATGTATGCAGAAGCGGAAGATAGACTAAGTCTGGTCTAAGATACTATCCAATTTGTATAGGGTTTACGCAATGTGCCTGCTGTTACAAATTGTCAACGAATCTAAAAGGGTAACGTTGACGTGAGATTATTGGTCTATCAACTCGTCGCTTGACTCCTCTGAGACCAAAACGTGAACTAAACTCTACATTTTTAGCAGGCTCAATTTTGTTTACATTTTCGGTTAGTTTATAGTTTACATTGCATCAATACATACATCAATACATAGTTCCAATTCTTTTTTTTTTTTTTTGTTAATTCATTGAATGTATAATTTTCTTAAAACCTCGGAATTTATGAAAATCCGTCGGTCAACGCTTAATAAAAATCATAAATGTAATAGTTAAATCATAAAATTAAATCAAATAATGATTTTCAGTGAAATTTATTCTATAATAAGATCTATTAAAATATTTTTAATTTTGATTTGAAATTTAAATATTTGTATTTTGATATCGAGTTTATAATGACAGTCATTGTATGTAATAGATAAATAAATGTATAGTATAGCTTAAATATTGACACGGTTCCAGCTTGCTTATTCTTAATCTATAGATTTAAATATTACTGAAAAAAGTCTAACTAATTTAAAATTGCATAAATTCAACGCTTTGAAGTGTAGGTTCTGCATAGCCAGTTAAAATTCCACTACGATAAACTAAAAGCAGCACATTAATATATAAATTATTAGTAATTTTTTTTTTTATCCTTTCCATATGATCAACTTCGAAAGTACTGATTACTATTTCTATGAAGCCTATAAGTTATGAATTTAAAAACCATTTGGCCATTAAAAGGTTCAGTAGAGAAAAAGCTGGTATGACTTCAACGCCGGGTGCGAATCGAGGTTAGCCCGAAATACATTAATCTTTCATGGTATTGATTAC